GCCCAGACTGGAGTGCAGTGGCCGCTCCCGGCCACCGCAGCCTCGACCTGCTGTGCTCCAGCGATCCTTCCGCCTCAGCCTTCCAAGTAGCCAGAATTAATAGGCATGTGCTACCACGCCCGGCTGATTTTTTGATTTATTGTAGAGATGAGGTCTCGCTGCCCAGGCGGGTCTTGAACCCGTGGGCTCAGGCAATCCACTCACCTCAGCCTCCCAAAGGCGCGGGATTACAGGCTGAGCCACCGAGCCCAGTTCTAAAAAAATTTTTAAAAAATAGGCATATAGGTCTCACTCTGTTGCCCAGGGCAGGTCTCAAACCCCTCACCTCAAGCGATCATCCACCTCAGCCTCCCAATGTGTAGGGATTACAGGTGTGCCACCGTGCATGGCCAGCACCCTAGTCTTCTAATCTGTGCATGGGAATGATAAAAAAGGATAGCCCTATACCCTAAGAGGAATAGGAGAGTGGGAGCATTGGATAAGACAGGACACATCAAGCTAGCAGGAATGCAGTGCTGGGGCAGGGTTGGTATTCCATAAAGGGGAACTGTTATTCATTAGTAGGACTCTTCAGGCCTTATTTCTGCCGCCTGCCTTCCTTGTCCCCAAACTCGCAGGTTCCCACTGCTTGGGGGTGCGGCACAGAGCCAGTTCCTCACAGCCACTGGCTGGGCCAATTTGTTGAGCCACTGCTGTGAGTCAGGTGTGGCTCGAGGTACGGGATACAGTAGAGGACAGATTCCCACAGCCTCTGCCCTCGTGAACTCACCCTCCAGCGGGAGACAGGCCACAGACAAGGAGGTGACACAGAACCTGATCAGGCGACAGAAGGAGGTGAGTAGACATGCCTGACCACAACTGAACAGACAAGAAGGACAAGCGGATGGTACACAGTGGCCCCTCACCTGGCATACTCCAGCCTGGGAAGCAGCAAGTAGAGGCCCGTGCACAGCCCAAGGAAGATGGTGGCCATCAGGAAGAAGGCCAGGGCGCTGTTCCTCACGTCGCTGGCCAGGGCCAGGTCCATCAGCGAGGCCACGGCGCTGATGGTGCCACCCATGGCACCTCCTATGGAGAGCAGAGGACACGGCAGACAGTCAGGGGTGGGCAGGGAGTGGGCGTGTGGTCGTGGGGCCCTCTCCACGTGGGCTTAACAGACCAAATTAAAAATTCTCCAACGTGAAAGATGCCGTGGTTCTCACAACAACCTGAAGACTCCTCGGAGGCATGGAGGTTCCTGTAGCCATGTGGTTCCTGACTTTCCAGGGGTGTCATTTGCCCTCTCTCTGGTGGACTTGCTGGAAGTTGCTGCCCTTGGCCCTGATGGAGGATCCTTCCCCCAATACTAGCCTGGGTGGCACTCGAGGGAGGGCATGTGGTCTCCAGGGGGTCCACTGGTTGGCTTTCTTTCCTGGCTTCCTCTCCCACCCTCAGTCTCCATCTCTCTCTCTCTTTTTTTTTGAGTTGGAGTCTCACTCTGTCGCCCAGACTGGAGTGCAGTGGCACACTCCTGGTCACCGCAGCCTCGACCTGCTGGGCTCTGGCAATCCTTCTGCCTCAGCCTTCCAAGTAGCCAGAACTACAGGTGTATGCTACCATGCCCGGCTAATTTTTCATTTATTGTAGAGACAAGGTCTCGTCAAGTTGCCCAGGTGGGTCTCGAACCCGTGGGCTCAGGCAATCCACTCACCTCGGCCTCCCAAAGTGCTGGGATTACAGGCTGAGCCACTCCATCTCTCTTTACTGCCCTTTTTGTGGGCTCTGAAACTTTAGATGCAGGGGCCGGACATGTCAGTGAATTCTGCATTTCCTCTTCTCTGCCCTCATCCCAAAGCACCGGCCAGCCAAACTGGGAGGGATGCTCAGGGAATGTGCAGCACAGGTCTCCCGCTGTCCTGGGGCCATCCTTTCTGGGGAAGCTCTCACTGGCCACAAACCCCCACTGTGTGGCCCACCCAGGAGCTCACGGAACTTACCTTGTAGCCCAGACAGCTGTACCCCATTCACCTAACGTGTGAATGCACACACATTCAGCACACACATACACAGTCACACACCTACAGACGCACACAAGCATTCAGCCTCCCCATCACATGGAACATTCTCCTTGCCGAGGGCTTTGATATACGTCACCCATGTGACTGTGGGCCACCACACCTTTCGCGGCTACCTAACCCAGGGGAACACCACGGGCCCCAGAGTCAGACAGTTGCACGTCTGACCCTTCACTCTGCCACTCACAAGCTAGAACCCCGGGGGCTAACGTGACTGCCGTGAGCCAGTTTGCTCGTCTGTAAAACAGGAAGCACAGCACCTGCCTTGCAGAGCTGCTGTGAGGACCAAAGGATGTTAGAAAAGGGCCTGGCACCTAGGAGACTCCACAAATGCAAGTTCCTTCCTTGCCACAAGCTAGGGAGGAATGTAAGCATGCGTTTTTCTTTTCTTTCGAACCCTCACAGCCGTGGGTGGTCCACACATGCTGGCCAGGCATCAGAAGGCCTGCGTGAAGCACAAGCTTGGGAGTGCTGGTACAGTGTGTGCAGGCAGGTACTCCTCCCTGCCTGTGTTTACTGGGGCTAACACCTGTCCTGTCCATCACATGGAACATGTGAGGCGGACACAGGGTAATGAGTGGGAAGCTTTGACTGCAAGACCGGACCCTTGTCATCAATATGGAGGGAGCCTGGGAGACATACTGGGCTGACTGGCTGATGCGTCGCCCACTTCAGAGCATCGGATATCGGTTCCCAAGGTGGTGCAAAGCAAACTGGCTGCAACTGCAAACAGCACACTGGTCTGTGCGGCCCCAGCTGGCGGCTCCCACCAGGCACCACAGTTCAATCCATTGAAGCATGGAGCAGAGTGGAGAGGGAAAGCCAGGACCCTGTGTACCGTGGAGCACTGTTAACATGTCCCACGCTCTGCCCAATATCTCTGGGGCTCTGGCAGCCCTTGGCCCTGATGGAGGATCCTTCCCCCAACACTAGTCTGGGTAATCGAGGGAGGACAGAGAGATAAACATCAGCACAGGGACTGAGAGGCAGACTCTAGAATCAGACCCTCTGAGCCCAATTCTGGCGCTATTACCTTTAGCTGTGTGACCTTGGGCAAGTCCCTTAACATCTCTGTGCCTCCATTTCCTCATCTATACAATGGGGATGTTAATAACACCTACTTCTTATGACTGTTATGAAGATTAAAAGGATTATGACATGGAAAGTGCTCAGAAGAGTGCCTGGTGCAGAGACGCCAAGCACCAAACAAATCCTTTCTGATTCCCAGTTAGGTGCATGGCTATTTCTGTCCTCCCCACATCAAAGCAGCAACAACGGGGTAAACCCTTTGCCAAGAGGGTGCCCACTTCTGAGAAGCTGTAATCCCTGCCTGGACGTTTTGTAAGAACCGGGATTGGACTCAGTAAGACATGCCCGCCGCCGGAGGACGAGATCTTAACATCACTGCCCATTGATTTTCCTCCCTCGCTCCCCAACTTGTAGAGAATTTACAATATTATCATCAACAACAAACCCAGCCTCGGGGAGCCCATCCTTCATGACTCCCTACTTTATCTCATCAGTTATGGAAATACATGCAAATGAGGGGTTTAAAAAAACACCAGTGCAAAACAAATGAATCGCTCCTTAGATGCCAACGCACACAGAATTCAGACAGGCTCCTCTGGACAAAAAAGCAAGTGGGGCAGGCAAGTGGCCCTGGACCTCTGGGAGACTGGGACACCTCGATTTTCCAGGGTGCTGGGTGCTCACAGGGCCGCACACAGTGGTGACCATGGTTTAGGGTCCAGGGTCATTAATAGTGGAGTGGAAGTACTAAACTTCCCCACCTAGCCAGAAGTAATCTCAGCGACTGGGGAGGCTGAATCGGGAGGATCGCTTGAGGCCAGGAATTTAAGACCAGACTGGGCAACACAGCAAAACCCTGTCTCTAAGAAAAATTTTGAAAACTTTAGGCTGGGTGTGGAGATGTACCCCTGTAGTCCCAGCTACTCAGAGGGTTGAGGTGAGCCATGCATTCCAGCCTGGGGGAGAAAGCAAGATCCTGTGTCTACAGGAAGGAAGGGAGGGAGGGAGGGAGGGAGAGAGGGAAAGAAGGAGGGAGGGAGGGAGGGAGAAGGAAGAAGGAAGGAAGGAAGGAAGGAAGGAAGGAAGGTCAGTCATCAGAGACTCCCCTTCCCTGGAAGACCCCCGGTGGCCAGATGACCTGGAGGGCCACTTGCCAACTTGAGTTGTGTGCTCTCACTGCTCCTGGAGAGGTAGTCAGCAAGGCTGTGGCTATACTGAAACCCTCCTCCAGCCGGATGGAGGAGATGAGGGGACACGAGCCTCTTCCTGAGACCAGGGGTGACAAGGGACTGAATCTAGTATCTGGTGGCCATGCCCTTAGCCTAGACATGCCCTTCTTGAAGTACTGCTGGGGTCATGTTGACTGTACTCAGGAGATTTAGGAACAAGTTCATTTTTATTTTATTTCAGGCCCAGTGGTTTTGATTTCCCAGGATAGAGCCAGAAGCCTACTCCTATATCAAAAATGGCAAACAGACTGAAGCTCGCATCTAGACTGTGATCTTTCTAGAGGAACGGCCTCAAGCGCTGTGCTGAGAAGGATTTAGAGGCTCAGGAGTAAAGATAGAAATCTATTAGTGATGTCTGGCACTGGCTCGCGTGGGGAAGGAATGCACCCTTGTCAAGGTATCGACATCCCGGCCACATACTGCCTAGTATCGTTAACTAGTGGACACAGTGCAGGTGCTTTGTGACATTCCTCTCAAGTGGGCATATATTCAGAGCACTGCTCTGCATGCCAGGGATGTGTGGAGATACAGACAGAGCAGTGGAGTCCTGGTCTCGCTTCTAGGGACGGAGGTCCCCTGGTCAAGCACTGATGCTTATAGATCCAGTCCTTTTTACCTTGTTGGATCATCTGGCTGAGACACATGCACACCCCCTTAGAGAACGCAATCGCCAGAGCCCCATAACAGGCTCAGCAGTGTCAGTACAAACATGTCACCACGCCACGCACCGGACACCCGCAGGATGCTGGAGCCCAGGTGAGCCGGGGAGTGTGTTCACTAGGCCATCAGCTCCGAGGGGTGGAGTCTGGTTCATCTTTGAATCCCTGGTACATGGCAGGTCCTCTATAAAATCAGAAAGGAAGAAAAGGCAGATGGAAGGAAGGACAGGAGAAACGAAGGAGTGAAAAGGTAAGGGGAGGGATAATACAGAAGACGAACAGGAGGAGAGAGAAACATGAAGCAGGAGGAGGCTGCCTTCAGGAATTGCACTTCCTAGGCAGGGCATGCTTTCCAAAAATGGCTGCAACTGCATCCTCCCTCCCACCTGCCTTCTCACAGCATGACTTCTCTGCTGGCCGCCGAGGCGTGTCCACCTGCCTTGTCTTGAGTCCAGGTGAGCTTAGGCTGTGGTGGAAGTGACCCTATGTGGCCTCTGTTGCTAAGGCAGAAACAAAGCTTCTGCTAGGATCACTCAGGAGGCCCGCTCTTGTGTCGCAGACACCATGCCATGAGGAAGCCCGTGCTGCCATGGTGAGGGCCATGTGGACAGGCACTGGAGCCCCTGCCCCAGTCCAGCTCAGCCCTGGTTCAGTTCCTGGCCAGCAGCCAGCACCAAATAACAGCCAGGGAAGCACGCCATCTTGAACTGGATCCTTCAGTCCCCAGTCCAGCTCTGCCAGCTGACACCATGGAGAGCAGAGATGAGCTGGTCTGCCAACTTCTGACCAAGCTGCAAATCTGCGAGTAATATACACGAGTGCTGTTGTTCTAAGACACTAAGCCTTGGGGTGGTTTGTTACACAACACAGATGACTAAAGCCCACTCGGCACACACGTTGTTTCCTTTTCTGGAAGGACTACTGCATGTCACCTCTGGCTGGCTCACATGACCCCCAGGGCTGCGAACCTGGTAGGCTGCCAGGACCACAGCTCTCACCTGATATCAGTGCCTGAGAATTCCTCATGGGGAAGGAGCCAGTCATGCCGTAGACGCTGCTGCTAAACATGGTGGAAGCACCGCTGATCATCACCATGCAGACAATGGTGATGGCAAAGAAGCCACGTGTCCAAGAGGAGGTGTCCACCTTCACCAGCACAGTCATCACCACGAAGATGGCCAGCATGATGGCCAACGAGGTCAGGATGCGGACGTGGACTGAAACCCTGGGGTGAGGACACCAGAAGTGGTTAGACAGTCCCTTGGGTGGCTCGTGAGCCACTGTAAGGGACATGAGCAGGGTCAGCAGGTGGGGCCATCCACTCTGCAGGAGGCCTGCTGAGGCACCTGCCCTGGCTCGCTAGTCATGTGGCCCTGCATAAATGACTCAGATGCTCTGGTTCCGACTTCTGCCTCTGTACAATGGGGAATGGAGTCTGTTGACCTCCTGTGAGGGACTGAGGCTCTGGGGGACAGGTGGCAGTGTCTGGCTTGGGGCCAGTGCTCAGTGGGTACTGCTGCTCTCACCTTGTGGTGAATTTCAAGGTCAGGACACCAGGATGGTCGAGGCAAGTTCCTGCTCCTCCTGCCACAGGGCTGAGCTCTCACTGGCTTTGTCTGGTGTTTAAACAGAGCAACCACCCACTCGGCCTCCTTTCCCCAAAATTTAGTAGGTGGTTGGGCAGAAGGGGAGAGAAAATCTTCATCATCATCATCATCATCATCACCATCACAGGAAACATAGCCCTCGAGTTGTGGCAGGCACTCTTTAAGTGCTTTCTAGATGCTAATGCACTTGAATCTCACACCAGCTCTCTAAGATAGTCATCTAACCTATCCCATCGATACAGACAAGGAAGCTGAGGCCAGAGATGTTAAGGAACTTGCTCTTGGTCACTCAGCTGTGAACCCAGGAGGCCTGGCTCCAGTCTGCCGAGGTCTTTTTTTCCTTGAGCCGAGGTCTCACTCTGTTGCCCAGGCCGGAGTGCAGTGGCATGATCAAGGTTCACTGCAGCCTGGACCTCCTGCACTCAAGCAATCCTTCTGCCTCAGTCTCCCAAGTAACTGGGACTATAGGCATGTGCCACTACACCTGGTTAATTTTTTTATTTTTATTTTTATGGAGACGTGGTCTTGCTATGTTGCCTAGGCTGATCTCGCACTCCTAGCCTCAAGCAATCCTCCTGCCTTGGCTTCCCAAAGTGCTGGGATTACAGACCTGGCTACTTTTCTGATTTTTTGGTAGAGACAAGGTCTCACTATGTTGCCCAGGATGGGAGTCTGTTCTCAGAATGATGCTCTACGGTCTCCCCTGGAACCAAGGACATCAAGTGGCCCCGAATAGGTGGCCAGGGCAGTGGGGAGCCTCCTGAGATAGTCTAGTTGTCACAGGCAGCGGCTGATGCCCAGCCAGTGCCGCTCAGGGCCAGGGGTCCTCATCCCTCCAGCATCATGCCTACGTGTTCCCAGCCCCCATGCGGGCCTGGGGGAACAGCAGGGAAGGAGGCTACTAAGAAACTGCACATTTTTATTCTAGGGAGCAAGAACACCATCTCAAGGGGCTGTTTAAATCAGATTAGACTAAGCTTCAAACTGGATTGGAAGCTCAGTTTTCTTGCTAGCCAGTGGGTGGGGGACTGGGAGGAAAGCCAGATTACATATACATAATTTTTTTAAAAATCAAAAAGACAAACTTAAAAGGTAGAAAAAATATACATGTACACAAATAGGCGTGGAATCACAGTCATGATGGGTAAGAAATGATGTCTTCCAAGTGCTTCTGTGGCCCCAGGCTAATCTGGGTTTCCTTCTGGTCCAGGGGCAGCGACCACTTTGTGAGGGAGGGAGAACAGGGGCAGCGACCACTTTGTGAGGGACACACAGGAGCCCAGGAACAGGAAGGACAGCTCAGAGCGGCAGAGGGAGGCCATGGGGAGGCGTGTCCAGCCCGGCGCTCGGCCTGCTCACGTGGGTACTGCTGTGTGTCAAGCGCACTGTGCTTCATGCCCAGGACACAGCCCAGCCACAAGTACTTCATTCCATTGTGCTAAGTGCTCCAAGGGGTGGGGGCAGGCAGGGCATCACAAGGCACATCCCAGGTGAAATCTTCTCACCCTGGGCAGTGTGGAAGGCTCTCTGGGGCAATACCTAAGCCACATCCTGGTGGGGGATAGAGTGTGGGGTGGCTTGCGGACTATGTCTGCCAGCACCCTCCTCTGGGAGGATGGATGCTTCTGCCTCCATGCCAAGTCCTCCTGGGGAGGCGGTTGGTCATATCGCCTACATCGACGCAACCGCAAACAGCAGGCACGTGACCGGGCCTGGGTGACCAGTGTTCCCTGCTCGTGGCCGCTGGATTGAGTTAGGAATTAGCATGTGGCCTGCCTAGGGCCACTGCTACATGGAAGCCAAGCAGAGAAGCTTCCATGAAGACTATGTCTGGGGTTGCTGGCTGCCATCTTGCCAGCAGTGGGGTCGGGCCACACACAGGGCAAAGCCAAGCAGAGCCTCATGGAGCTCAGGGTGGGGCAAGAGAGAGCCCCTGGGTCCAATGGCACCTGAAGGCAGCTGGCCTCTCATTTTCAGTTGAAGAATGAAAATCCTTTTTTTGTGTCTCTGTCATTTGCTACTAAGAGTGTCCCTGAACACAAAGATACACATCAGGGTTCCAAGCTGGGATGACATGGTCAGGGGCTCGGCAGTGCTGCTGGTGTCCTACCTCTACTTCAGGGGATGCTGGTTCATGAAGCAGGGGGTGGTGACAAGTGAGTAGCCCTTCCTGAGAGCAGCCTTCAACCAGTAAGTGGGAAGCCGATGGACACCCTAGCTCCCTCCTGCACGTCTGCGCGTCCCACACTGGCTCCCGCGTGACCTGCAGGATGAAGCCCTGCTTGCCCTCAGCAGGAGCTGACTGGACGAGGTATACTTCCTAGCCAATTTCCCTTCCCTCTCTCCTACCTTCACCTCCCATATTAATGACTCGCATGTGAATCCTTACTCCAGGCTCTGCTTCTAGAGACCCCACAGTAAGACACATCTTCCCAGGGTCTGTGGGGCCTTGGCCTGGACAGGAGCTGGTGGGCAGCCAGGTGGGCATCTAGACCCTGGGAGGCCCAGAGTGTCTATTATAAGAGCACGGCAGGGTCCCTGGGGGTTGGCAGTCTAGCCTCACCCTGATGCTTGGGGTGATCCTACACACTTGACCCTGTCACATGGTACCCACCCCACCCTCTCCCAGCAGCTGGAGTTGTCCTACCCATCCCCAAGATAAAAGCCAGCAAGGGCATGGAGCCTGAGTCAGGAGACTGGAGTCCGGTCCAGTTCTGTCATCAATGTGCTGTGTGACCCCTGGCAAATATTTAACCTCTCTGGGCCTCAGTCCCCTCATCTCTAAAAAGAAGCTAGACCAGATAATATGAAGGTCTGTAGCAGTTAATGATTCTAGACCTGAAGAAAGTCAAGTGGAGAGAGAGGTGAGGACAAAGTGTACCAGGTGCCAGCCTGCCCCAGGGGCACTGACAGGGGACACTGGCTTTCGTCTCTCCTGCGTCCACCCAGGTAGGACGCGTGACCCAGGGAACGGTGGTGCTCTTGGGGTTTTAGGAAAGTCTAAGTAGGTGATGCCCTGGCATCTAGGGTTCTACCTAGGGACAGAGCATGGCCAAGAGGTCACGTCACACTCTGCTGAAGACTCTTGGAGGGGGCTGCCATTGCCCCCACCCCCTTACTCATGAGGGTTCGGAATCCCAGGGGAACTTTTTCACCAGTTCCTCAGGGCAAGAAGGTGGTAGAGGTCAGGCCGGGGATGCACGGGGTGCAGGTAGGGCAGACCCTGCCCCGTCCCCCAGCACCAGCACAGACCTCAGTGGGCTGTCAAAATTCGCTGGATATACAAATCGACAAGCGAGGGAGATCACAGTGCACTGGCAGCGTTCACGTTGGCCTAAAGCTCCCAGGGGTTGTCTGTTCCTTGACCCCCGGCTCAGTGTGGAGGGAGTCTGGCTGGAAATACCTGCCGGCCTCGGGTCAGCTCTGCCTCTAACAGCCGCCTCGCAGTCACAGGCAGGCAAACATCCAGCTGAAATGGTTGGTGTCACGGGACCCCTCCTGAGTGCCTGTTGCTATAAGGTAATCAGTGCCTTGAACAAGAAGCCTGCTTTGCCAAGAGCTGGAGGGGGCGCTCACTCTGGCACCCCCAGGGCAGAGGAGGAGGAGGTGGGATGAGGAGGCTGATGCCACGTGCATTCCGGTAGTGCATTGTGGCCTCTGGCTCTGCCGTCCAAGCCCCTCACCTGCGCTGGTCTCCTCGCCTGCTAATTAACTGCTGCATAGACCCCAGTCGCCCAGAGCCTCCGCCTGTGGAGTTTATAAAGCTTCAGGAAGTACGCTAGGTGCCAGCCTACTCCACGGGCACTAACAGGGGACACTGGCTTCCTCTCTACTGCATCCACCCAGGGGATGCATGACCCAGGGGACAGTGGTGTTCTTGGGGTTTTAGGAAAGTCTAAGCAGGTGACACCCTGGTCTCTGGGGTTCCACTTGGAGACAGGGTATGGCCGGGAGGTCACGTCACACTCCCCTGAAGACTCTTGGAGGGAGCTGCCAGTGCCCCCCACCCCCTTACTCATGAGGGCTCAGGACCCCAGGGAACCGACTTCTTCATAAGTCTCCAAAATGTAAATCTTCCTCATAAGTATTTATGATGCTGCAGATTTAACATAATAAAACACTTGGCGATTATGGATGAGCCAGTTGAGAAAACCAGGGTTCTCCAGGAGGGGAGAAAAGGAGAAGCTTCAATCTCGCGCATTAAATGAAAAACAGCTTAGCTCCAACGATATTTCCCCAGCTTGAAAACAGATGGAGACCTGGAGCCCAGGAGAGGAGGGCGGGCAGGGGCACCGGTGCCCCTGGAGAATGCCCTGCAACTGCAGAGCCATCTCCCCACCCAACCTCGGGAGGGCAGCCAGTCAGGGGGCCCCACCGGCTGCAGTTAGACCCCGCCCTTCTCAGCCACTCCCCTACGCAGCAGCCTGGAGCCGAGATGGGGCTCTCACTAGGAGGGTCTTAAGCATGGCTTAAGCATGCAGCAGCAAAGCTGGGAACCAGAAGGCAGGTGGCCCAGAGGGTCCAAGCAGATACAGGACGAGAAGGCCCTGGTTCGAATCCTGGCTCCGCCCTCCATGGCCATGTGACTTTGGGCAGGTCACCTCTGTGAGTCAGTTTTCCCATCTCAAAGCAGGGGTTTCCTGACCACCGAGGAGGCGGCACAACTAAGAAGCAAGCCCAGGCCACCCCATGCAGCCCGAGGTCTCCTGACTCCACCTGGAAAAGGGGCAGTGCCACAGCCTCCACCTGGACTTCTGAATCCTAAAGGATCTGATGAGGCGGTAACTGAAGCATCACGGCTCAGACAGCGATTCTGGATCCGGAAGGGGGTGGGAGGTCTCACCATGCATGCCTGGGCCATCTGGGCTGGGAGAGTGCTCCCGTCTTCAGGGCCAGCCGAGTGAGTGGACAGAGGACATAAGAGAAGCTGAGGGCTCCCCCCAAGGCCGTCTCCCTGCCTCGCCCCCCTCCTCTCGTCCAGCCTTGCTTTCTCACGCCCTCTCTCCTGCTGGGGTCTGCTCTCCAGGGGCTGGCAGGGCTGGGGACACCCGGCTCTGCCCTGGAGTCACTCCTCTACTCTCTTCCTGGGTGGACCCTCTGCAGGCTGTGTTCTCTGCTAGGACACGGAATGCAGTCCTGTGAGCCATGGGAGGCAGAGGTAGGCCTCGGAAGCCACAGGGCCCAGCGAGCCTCTTTCTCCTTCTCACTCCTCCAGATGGCACTTTGGTTCTAAAATGGGTACAGATTGACCCTGGGAGGTGGGATCTGGGTCTCCTTGAAACAGGGCGGGCTTTGTGACCAGCTGAGTATGGCAAAAGTGACACCATGTGCCTTCCAAGACCAGGCTGTAAGAACCACATAGCTTTTCCCTTGCTCTCTTGGGGCATTTTCTCTTCAACCACTACATAAATGGTCCTATTGCCCTGAGGCCAACAAGGAGAGACTACAAGGGGAGATAAGAGAGACACAGAGGGAGGGAGCATATGAATGGCCTCTGCCCCAGCTGCTGTCCAATGGCAACTGCAGGATGAGCAGTAAGCCAGAGCTGCCAGCCAAGTCTTGATAACCCTAGAACACGGGAATACTAATTACTGCTATTGTTTGAAGCCTTCCTGCTTTGGGATCATATTATATAACAACAGATAATTGGAATAGTCCCATAGCATACTATGATTGGAAAGACTGATCTATTCAGGTTCACGGTCCCCTTTCCTTCTGTACTCAGAGCAGACATCGCTAATCAATCACGGCACACTCCCAGAAGCCAGACCTACTGACACAGCTTAGATGTTTGTCCCCTCCAAATCTCAAGTTGAAATGTGGTCCCCAGTGTTGGAGGTGGGGATTTGTGGGAGGTGTTTGGGTCCCTCATGAATGGCTTGCTGTGGGTCTCACTAGTAATGAGAGAGAGTCCTTGCTCTGTTCACAAGAGAGCTGGTTATTTAAAAGGGCCCGGCACCTCCTGCTTGCTCTTGCTATGTGACATGCTTGCTCCCTCTCTACCTTCCACCATGACTCTAAGTTTCCTGGGGCCTCATGAGAAGCCCGGCAGGTTAACAGCGCCAGGCAGAACTATGAGCCAAATAAAGTTCTTTTCTCTATAAATTGCCCAGCCTCAGGTATTCCTTCATAGCAACACATAACGGACTAATACACCTGCCTTAGAATCCTGCTCAGCCAGAGATCTGGGCAGTCACTACAGATTCATCAGAGCTGGGCAAAGCAGACTTGCCATGAATGATCAGAGGCTTCTGGAGGCCATGCCCAAGAGATGCCCTGGTTTCTGGACCACAATGAAGCCATTGATATCACCTAGTGGCAGCCAGAGGAAATGCAGGCAAAGTCTACAGGCAAAGTCGCCAAGGTTGTTGTCTTTGTAAACTCAAGCTGAGAATGGCCAGCAACAGCCACTTGATGGGGTCTATGGGTTGTGTGAATCTGCCTGGCTTCCTCCTGAGTAACCCTTCCACAGGGCAGCCTGAGGGAGTCTCTCCTTGTCCACACCATGTCAGAAAGTCTCCTATGAGCCCCTTAGTGAGCAGCTGACACACCAGCTGGTATTACCAATTTAGCACTGAAGAGTGTGGGGACCCGCTCTCAGCCACAGGCCTTGCAGACACTGACAGGTCCCCTGGGGGGAGAAGAGGGAAGATCCCTGGATCCCCACACACCTCCCGCTGGCTGTGGACATGACGTCTCAGTGCCCTCCCAGCATGCAGCTGGAAAGTGCAAGTTTGGCTCCCTGATGGGTATCCCCAGGTGACGGACCTGACTGCTCCGTCTTCTTGCACGAGTCGGAGTTGTTTGCCCCCTACTTCGGTAGCTGCCATTGAAGCAGGCAGGAAAAATGCAGTTGTGGATGAGAGGGAGGGGGGGAGGCAGGAGGCCAAGGCCAGTGGCCTGAGAGAAGGAGGAGAGCAGCCTACCTGTTTACAAGCAGGAAGTTGGCCACGAGACACAGCACGGAGGACACGGAGGAGGCGATGGCAAGGTAGCTCTCAAAGTAGTTCTGGAAGCACATAAGGGAGGAGGCAGCTGCGTCACTCAGGCATGGAAGAGGTGTCCCACTCAGAGAAAAGACAGGACCCCTCTCGTGGGGCTGTCTTCAGACATGTAGGTAGGCTCACCCCAAGACGACAAGGTCCCGCCCCACCTCCAGCCTAAGACCACTTATTCAGTCACTCAACAAACAGCTGTGGATGCCAGCTGTACTAAGTGCTGAGGCCATAAGGAAGGATAAGACATCATCCCTGTTCCTGGTGAGGTCCCTGAGCTCTGCAGCCATGCTCTCACCCACAGACGCAGGCAATGGGGGCAGGACTCCGTGGGCATCTAAAGAGAAAAGTTTTGCCCTATCAGCTCTCTTAGCCCATTGCCCAAATGCAGGATTATTCCCACGGGTTTTGTTACTACCTAACCAACCTTCTCAGGTTCTTGTAACCACTTGAGACTCTTAGAAACACGCCAGGTCCTGCTCCCTACAGGGAACCTAGCGCCAATTCTGGGTCTGCTCTCTTGGTAGAGCTACCACAGACAGACAAAGCCATTTTGGAAAGTAGCTCTAGACTGGATGAATAAAAAGGGCATCTTCCTGGCAGGGATACGTCAGAGAATGCACGAGGCCACACAAAGATGAGACATTTCTTGATTCTTCTGTGCTGGAACTTGGATAAAGCAGCATTATGGCAGCTGTGTTTGTCAAAACTCAGAGAATGTTCACTCATTAGGATGGATTTCGTTGCATGAGCGTCCCCCTTTAACATAACTGTCTCAGGAAATACAGCCAAACCAGACAAAGTACGGGGAAGACCTGAGGCATCTTGGCTTTGGTCACTGTAGCCACTGTAGGTCAAACCGTGAACTGGTCATGATGGGTTCTAAGTTGTGATTACAGCTTCCATAGATTAAGCATTTACCACATACCAAATACAAGGGTTTTCTATAAATTATGTTGTTTAACCTGAAATAGATAAACCAAAGTAGCAGCTGGGTGAGGATCCCACTCTGGAAAGCTTAAGAAATTTAATTGAATGAGGGAAATAATCTGAGTCCAAATGAGCCAAGTGCAAAGAACAATGTGTGCAGAGAACTTGCCGATGTCCTAGGTGTAGTGTGGCCCTGCCTGTCAGGAATGTGATGTGTCTCATCAGGCAGTAAGATGGAGGATGGAGGGGGAGGTTTTTTGATTTTTTTTTAACAGCTCAAAACATCATGAGAAATGTGAGAATTCCATGTAGTTGTTGTTTTTGCCAAATCTGAGGAAGGAGCTTTGCATTCTAGGGGAGTTCTAGGCTTTGGGGATGGGGGTGGGGAAGGGAGACAGGCACTTGGGAGAATGAGAGTGAGTGTGGGTTTAGGGAAAGTGTAGGTTTAGGGAAAGCCCAGGGGAGGCGGGATGTGAGTCAAACCTTGAGACGAAGGGTCAGATGTCTCCTTAATGGGAGTGTTGGATTGCAACCAGGAGGCCAAGGAAGAAAGATGCCGTCATGGGCCTCTTTTAGTCTGAAGTCAGGCTGCTCTATAGTCAAAGTTATAGAGTGTTTTGTGGTCTTTGAAATCTGCACCCTGAATATAAGGCTGCGGTGGCCTCACAATTAAAATGATAATCGCAGCCAGTGTAGTCCATCAACCATGAGCCTTGGAAATAGCCTTCCGCCTCTGAGGTACGCCGCATTGTTCCTGCCCTGATGGGCTCAGCAGAGCCTGGACTGGCCGCGGCCGTCAGTCAATTACATCTTGACACAGTGGCTGGGCCTCTGTGAGGCTGAGAGGGCAAAGAAGAAAGGCCTTGAGGGAGAGGGATACAGAGGGGACCTGAGATTGCCTCAGCTTGAGACCCTGACGAGCCCCTCATTCATCGGCTGCCCAACCAGTGGCTGGTCTGTGAATGGCTATCCTGCGGGATGTGGTATCTCTGTTTCTGTTTCTTCGAGTGGACTCAGGGTCCTGAATGTTTTAGGAATGAAGATTTTCCAGGTAACTGAATGTTCTGGTTTGTTGATATCTAAGCAGAAAAATGTATCATTTAATGTTGACAACGGGATAAAACTCCGACTCCCTTCTGTTGACTGGGCCCATTTTGCAGTCTTATAAAGAGCATGCCCGTGGGGAGAATGGACCCAAGGCTGGACCATCATCCTATCCACACAGAACAGGAGCTGCAGAAGGTGACGTGGGTTGACCCAGCACATGGAACTTTTAAAAAAAAAAAAAAACCTTAATTCCTGAGATGAACGTAATGGGTTTATTCACTTATTTGCTGCTTTTGCCTGTAAGGAAAGTTCTAGTAAAATGAGGCATGGTGGCCGAGTCTGAGGTGGCCCACGATCCCTGTCTCCTGGTGCTCACGCTTGTACAATGCCTTTCCCTGGTTGTGGGTGGGACCCATGACTGCTTTCACAGAGAGAGTAAAGCAAAGGTGCTGGGTAGACACAAGGAGGTATTAAATGAGCTTGTGACACTTGTCTTGCCAGACTCTTTTTCTCCCCTGCTGGCTTTGAGGAGGAAAGTTACCATGTTAGGGGAACCTCACATGGCAAGGAAATGTGGGTGGCATCAAGTTGCTGAGGGTGGTCTCTAGCCAAAAACCAACAAGAAACTGAAGCACTCAGTCCTACAACCAAGAAGCAAGATTCTGCTAACAACCATGTCAGCCTGGAAGTGGTCCTTCTCCAGGCGAGCCTCAGATGAGACTGTAGTCGGCTGACACTCTGATAGCAGCCATGTGCGAATTCAAAGGAGACCCAGCTAAACTGTACCCAGACTCCTGGCCTATAGAGACCATGTGATAATAAATGCATGTGGTAGCCAGGCACAGTAGCTTACACCTACTAATACCAGTATTTTGGGAGGCCAAGGTGAGAGGATTGCTTAAGCCCAGGAGTTTGAGACCAGCCTGGGCAACATAGTGAGACCACATCTCTACAAAAAATCAAAAAATTAGCCAGAATGGTGATGTGCACCTACTGTCCCAGCTACTCAGAGGCTGAGGCAGGAGGATGGCCTGAGCCCAAGAGGTAGAGGCTGTGGTGAGCCGTACCATGCTACTGCACTCCAGCCTGGGCGACAGAGTGAGACCTCAACTCCAGAAAAAAAAAACAAACAAAAAAAGTTATGACGCTGATCACAACAGTCCCTTTAGCCCTTCCTCACCAAACCTCTGGTTGAAATCAGAATTTTTACAAGTGGCATGTGCTGAGTTCAAAAAACTCGACTTAGTTGATGTCACTCCAGATCTGCTCACCTGGCCTGCCCCTCCGGTACTTGACTCAGTTCCCTGTCAGAGTGGTTGGTCCCTTTGGTCATAAAGTCACTGCCCCCACTGCCACCAAAGGAGGAGTCAACTGCCAAGGAGAGACCCTGGGTTTACACACTGCTGGGCTACAGGAGAGGGGCCGGGTAATGCTACGGAAGGGTGGGGGAGTCAAAGCCCCGCGAGAACGACGTTGACCAGTGAGGAGCAAGAGATGGAAGGCTCTTCTGAAATGTGCTAGTTCCAGATAGCTTTTCTGGAGATGTCCAAATGTGTTTGGTTGCAAAGTTGCAGCCGGCTTAGTGGTTTGGGAACCCCATGTAACCATTCTCTCCAGCCCTGCCCCCTTCCTTTTTGTTCCTCCCTGGGACAGCACTCTCTAGGGGAATATTCGCACAAGAGGTGTCGCCTTCCTGGCGAAGCCCTGGTTCCAAGCTTGAAGATGCGCTCTGCAGCCAGGCAGCGGTTACTTCCTCCCTGGGTCCACCTCAGGTGCTTCTGAGGGGTGTTGGGGCCAACTCCTCTCATCCTATTTAAGGAAATATAGATGCAAACACACTGTGCCTGGGCTGTGAGCAGCGCTGCCCCCTCCAGCGCAATCTGTGCTGTCCATCTAACAGATGGAGGGATTTATGAGATGCAGTGTTGGGATAATTTATGGAGTTCATCCTCACTTGGGCCTAACTCCCAAGAGCAACCTCAAAAGGCTCCCACTAAGTACAACCTCTGTGGAAAACAGTTTGGCAATTCCTAAAAGATCTAAAAATTGACCTTCCATATGACCCTGCAAATCCCCCTACTGGGAATATACCCGGAGGAACTCAAATCACCCTATGAAAAAGATACCTGCACACACGTTTATTGCCGCATTATTCACAATAACAAAAACACAGAACCAACCGTGCTGCCCATCAGAAGAGGACTAGATTTTAAACCGTGTGGTACATATACATGATGGAATATTAAGCAGCCATAAGTAAGGACAAAATTACAAACTTCACAGGAATTTGGATGGACTGAGAGTCTTTAATACTGAGTGATCTATCACAGAAACAAAGAACTGAGTATTACATGTTCTCACTCATAAGTAGACCTTGAACAATTATCGTAATACTATAAGAAAAGGGCTGGGTTCGGTGGCTCAGCCTGTAATCCCAGGACTTTGGGAGGCCGAGGCCAGAGGATTGCCTGAGCCCGCGGGTTCGAGACCCACCTGGGCAATTTGGTGAGAACTCGTCTCTACAATAAATCAAAAATTAGCCAGGCATGGTAGCGCGTGCTTGTAGTTCCAGCTACTTGGTTTTTTTTTTTTTTTTTTGAGTTGGAGTATCACTCTGTCGCCCAGACTGGAGTGCAGTGGCCGCTCCCGGCTACCGCAGCCTCGACCTGCTGGGCTCCGGCGATCCTTCC